ACAGAGTAATATGGCTGGAGGAATTCCAATTGCAGCACGGCCACGTCGTTCGGTTTAACGATTTCGTCGGACTTCAGAGAATACGGAGCTTCTATACACAGAAGAGGAGTGGGCTTGTGTATAGACTGCTCCGTTGACATGTTTAAAGACCGTTATATATCTCACAGCTAGAGAGAATTGCAGGTTGCCTTGGGCCGCGTGCAAATGTATCAATATTCATCCCGTCGATTTGACCATCGTAAAATACGTCGGAGAGTTGTTATATATTAGAGCTGTTGTATATTATGCGAAGCATACGATAGTTCTCGCTATGCGAGCATTATACATCACGAGTCACTCCATTCTTACGTACCTTGTTATTTTTATTTATACATCTGCAAATACATATGCATACATAATTTAACGTAAATTGTGTTCGAACATATAATTTCATTGATAATCTTACGTCACTATTGTTACTGCTATCATTAATGCTAATTGTAAAAGCAAATTCATATAGATAGATCTAATCAAAACTTTATTATAAGTAAACAGTTTTTTATTCTTAATTCATTGTAACATATAAATACAAAAGATTTAAAGATATATGTGAAATTATTTACTCCTGTTTGCTACAAAATAATTCTGTCATATAGCAATACAAATATGTGATGATGGTAGAAGACTGCCAAGTGGCGCAACAGTGCTATCTCTATCTTTGGAAAACTATTAGTGCGTTATTTTATTTTTAATGATCAATGATATTTTAATGATCAATTACTCTTAGCTTCTTTTTTATTATGTATCTACGTATTGCACAGAGATATCAATTTTTGGCAAAATCCAAAAGTATTTGATGCAAATAGATTTTCACCTGAGAAGATTCGTCATGATTATTCAGCACTTTCGTCATGATTACTCGATGCTGGACCACGTAACTGCATTGGTAAACTATAATTTTTATATTCTGTTATAAACACCATATAAACACAGATTGCAATATACATCAAATTGTAGGTCAACGATTTGTTTTACTACAGATAAAGGTAATGATAGCTCCTTCGATACATAATTTCTATTTGGAACCTATGGATTATTTAAAGGACTTATCATCCAAGATTGATTTGGTATTTTGTTCTCTTTTCATTAAATAAATCATATTTTTTTCAACAAATTTATCTCATTAACTTAAATTAATTATTTCACCAAATAAATTAAAATAAAAATAAATTAATTTCAATTAAAATATATAATATATAATATATATAATTACATAAAAAATATTTAATTTTGTTAACAAATTTATTACAAATTTTATATGATTATAATAAAAGTATTATTCAATTTATTTAATATTGCTTGTTTATAAATTAATATTAATATTATCTTATCTATATTTTATCCACTGTGATAATTTCAATTGTTTCACTGATAATAACCTTATAGTGTCGACATTATGTTTGCTAAGCAAAGTAAATAATACTGATTCATGTAAGATATGATTCTTAATTTTATAAAAGACTGTGTATTTTGTAAAAATGAGTTAGTACCAGTTAAAGTAAATTAGTAAGTTAAGTAAGCTAATTAAATTCTTAATAAGAGTATAATCGATAAAATTTATGTAATAAGAAAATATTAACGTATTTAAAATGTATATAAATAAATAAAAATAAAATTTAAATAAATATTATATCAGTACTTAATTATAAATATTCAAAAATGTTTTACATAAGGCTGCTGCCATTTTACTTCGTTGATAAATTCTATAAATGAATAAATAATATAATATTATAATATTTACGTATTTTTTATTCAAAATATGTATATTTTATAAACATGGATATAAATACTTTAGATGTTACACAGATATTTATATTAAAAAAATTCTTTTTTTTTCATTTTTTTATCAATAATATAACATAATTAAACATTTTAATTGTGTGTGTATATATACATTATGAAGATATTTAAAAGTTAAGATTTTATTTGGATTGAAACAAATATTATGTATTTTTTGAATCAAGATTTGAAATAACAGGAAGTAGAAGAACTTGATTGAAACTGTTGGATCAAGGAACGATGATGATTGTTATCATATTATTATTACTTATCTTTACTTTATTGATATATAATTATTACATTAATTATGGAAGAAATGGACGACTCATCAATCTTCTACCAGGACCACCGGGTTATCCAATTATTGGATGTGTATTAGAATTTCTAGTTTCACGAGGTAAATCAAAATTTTTAATATATAATATTTATATAATATTTTTAGAAATTGACTTTACTTTTTTCAATATAATATAAATAATAAAATTTATGAATTTTTTATTTTATAACGATAATATTATTTTGATATACTCACGATGATAACATTATTATATTCTAATTACATTTAATAATTGCATATACATATTCGTAGTTTAAACTTACTTTATTTATATTTTGAACAATAATATTTATTTTCTTAATTAATTATTATTAGTTAGAGTAATATATTTTAAAACAATATAAATTTTATCAGTAATAAATGTTTTAAAATACTGTATTTTTATAATATACGAAAGTAGTTAATTTATAATAATCTGCACTTTATTTTTCAAATTTATTAAAATGACATTATAAAATTTATATAAATTTTTTAACATTATTTTTTAATATTTTTGCTTTTTGTAATCTTTTTGTACTTTTTCATGCTCTTAATTTAAAAATTTATTAGATTATTTATACTTCTTTGGAAGTATAAATACTATTTCTCAAATATATAATGTCTCAATGCACTTTGATTATAAAAGATTATAAAAAAATGAATTTTTGAGCAAACAGGTGATAATTTAAATGAATGAAAAGATTATGTAAAAATTCCTGGATCTCAGTTACTGAAAAGATATAAAAGTAAAGCAACTGTAAATAAGTATTTAAAATATAAAAAAAGCAATGCATGCATAGTTTAAAAGTCCAAGAAAAAAATATTTTCTTTTTAAAACATATGTTATAAAACGTTAACCTATTGTTAACCTATAAAACGTTGAGCTAAGTATATTAAAAAGTATATTAAAGTAATATTATGAAATGATAAATGATGCATATACATTTTCTAATGTTATTTTAATAAATTTTCAAAGTAAGAGTAATAATTTATTTTTCTCACACACACACACACACACACACACACACACACACACACACACACACACACACACACACACACACACACACACACACACAACTACACTATATATATATATATA